ACACACACACACACACACACACACACACACACACACACACACACACACACACACACACACACACAGTGATAAAACCAATAATAAAGCAGGTATTGATCTCAGGATGTTTGATTTTAGTGTTTGCTAAGATTGATTAGCTGTTGCCACCGTCTTAAATTGAATTGAATAGTTGTAGGTGAACTATGGTTACTTTCTAACTATTTTATTCAAATTTGTCAAGTGATTGATTCGATATTAGCTAACAGACAAACAGGCACAGACTATTTTTTACATTGGCAGTGATAACAACCAAACGTCAAAGACGGTTTAAAAATTTGACTTCTWCTATTCCCAAAAATCACTTTGTTTGATGCATGTCGCATTGAGGCCCAAATCATTTTAATCCAAATGTTACCTGAGACAARAATAAACTGTTGACAACAATAAAARCAKCAAAATAATTTGAAAAAAAGTAAGTCAAGTCCTTTACTCATGATGGAATCATCTTTTAGCGCTATGCTTTTTGCTTTATTCCAAATTTAAAAAAATAAAATAAACAGGTACCTGTTTTCAAGGCCTAATTTAACTAAAAATAATGTGTCTTTGTGAACTTTGCAATCGATGCCCAGGGGTTCTCTGATCCCTAAAGGATATTGTTATTTATTTATTTTTATTTGTCTGTTTGTATCTGAACTCCCCAGGACATCATATCATTCTCCTATTGAAAAGACTTAATAAAAAATCTGTAGTATGTTTCATCTCATTCAATATGATGTTCTCTATAGAAGACATCTATTAATGGGCTTTTGATACCAATCCTTTATGTTTAAATGATAAAACTAACCCTCAGAGAAAAGAGTGAGGATCTCTGGTGTTTTTACGCTGCAGGTGGCTGAAGTTTGAGGAGGATGTGGAGGACGGTGGGGAGAGGTGGAGCAAGCCCTACGTCGCCACTCTTTCCCTCCACAGCCTGTTTGAGCTCCGCAGCTGCATCATCAACGGCAGCGTGCTGCTCGACATGCGTGCAGACTGCATCGAAGAGATAGCAGGTGAGAATGTCTCCATCAGTACAATGGAGCACTGTAAAACCCAAAGAACCGTTTGTATTGTTGGTGTGGATGAGTGGCATTTCACATTTTATTTTCTCCACTCCTGTACTTTAGCTTCTCACCACTGTCCTTGAGTAAATATTAAATTTCTGACTTTTAGATGAATCTGTTTGATGTTCTCATTATGTAACAACTGCCTTATCAGAGTTTACAGCACAATAACTGTCTTTGATGGCTCTGTGTTTGTAACAAGGCTGGACAAGATTTGTGTTCTCATTTTCAGGAGTTAAACTGGGTCAGCAGTTAATGTTAARTATATTTGGCAAATGCATTTATTACTTTTAGGTCCCTGTTTTCCCTGACTGCTTTCAAACACAGCTCTGAAGCTCAATCCTGTGATTCTGTCAGCAGCGGTGTGTTGTGGTGTGTTGTGGTCTGCTGTGGTGTGTTGTGGTGTGTTGTGGTGTGTTGTGGTACACGTTGGGTCTCCAGGACTCGCAGCACGAGCTGAGTCACACTGAACAGAGCAGAAAATGAAAGAAACCAGACTATTATTCCCATGAATGTGAAGCACAGCAGCTCATTCACCGTTTCTGCACACACACAGTGACTCTTCTTATTGAACTGAMTGAAAGCTGCCAGGATGATGAAGGATAAAATACACAGCTTCAACAGAATGCAAGTTGCTAATATTTGTTTCAAGCAACGTTGCGGCTTGGCCAAGTTAAACTGTGGCTTGTGTTTTTCTCCCTCTGATTAAACTGTTAAAATTAACCAACAGRTCAGCTCAGGAATGAAATCAATTGTAACAACAGCTAGTTTTAAATCTTAAGCATCTTTGAGACATTGCTGTAGTTTTGTCTTTTAAAAGAGCAAGTATTTATTAGTTTTATTTTATTAGTATTTACTTCTTATTTCCATCTATCTAAACAACAAACGAAATTTGTGTTTTTCTTTGTTGTAACAGGCGACATGCATCTCACATGTCTCTTTGATACARTTTTGCTTAAAATGCATGAAAAGTAACTATTTTTAAGATTTGGTAACTAAGTAAGAAAAAAAGAGATGCGTATTCACAAAACAAGATTAATAATCTAACACTTTGTGCTCTTGCTTAGTATATCAGTCTCTAAATAAGATAAAAAAAAAATTTCAAACCTGGGGTCTTTCTGTGTGGAGTTTGCATGTTCTTCTTGTGCCTGCGTGGGTTTTCTCCAGGTGCTCCGGTTTCCCCCACCACTCAGACATGTTCAATAGGTTGCCTTCAGTCCCCGGCTGCCCTTAAAAAAGAGATCTGAGATCTCAACGAGACTTGCCTGGTTAAAAAAACGATAAAATAAAAATTAATTAACAGTAAAATAAAAATTAAATAACGGTAAAATAAAAAAAATGCTTCTTGGCAATAGATCTTACACTGTTCGAAAGCCTGTTAATTTCATTTGTAAGGAACATGCATCTGTGGGATGAGCAGTACAGCTGAGGATGTGGGAAGTATTGTTACAACAAAATAAATAATCAACCAAACATAAATTTCCTTAATTTTTGTAATATGTAAATAAACGTTTTGCTGTTGATTGTTGGGGCTGCAGAGGAAACAAGTTTAGGAGAGATTCTTTCTTCAGGCACTCTTCAGCTCCTCCTGGGAGGATTCCAAGTCATAAACCCTCCAGCAAGTTCTGGCTCTGCCATGGGGTCTCTTCATCCTAACCAGATGCCTAATATCAAGGGCTAACAAATACCATAGTATGCACAACATTTATAGTTTATAGGGGGGTATTATGTATTTTCCAGGCACATAGTTCAATTCAAAATCAACTTTTTAAACTTTATATAATGTTATAATGTCATTCCCTCATCAAACACATGCCCAGAGTGTTGCTTTGACTCATTCAGGCATGTCTGAGAAATCCTTGAATCTCCTGTGGCCACGTGGAGCTGCCTAAACGCTTGCTGGTACAAAGTTCCTCCTTGGAGCTCAGTCTACAGCCGAGCTCCCACCCCACAGAGAAGCCTCTCTCCCAAAATATTGTTGTGAAAACGTGCTGACGTGGGAATGTGGAAATGGTAGGAGGTTCTTAAAGAGACAGAAGTTCAAAGTTGTTTAGATGCAAAATCAAAATTATTTTTGATGTACAGCTTGTTCATAACTATAGGGTAAGACAACTGAAGGTGTAGTTACTCAGTTGTGGTATAAAATTGCACTACGTGCCTGGAAAATACATAAATACATAATACCACACCCACAAAAAGAAAAAAAAAGGAGACGTGCCGAGCCTTTTGTGCATTTTTGCATTTTGTACAATTTTTAAGAGTTGACTCTGCAAAACGCCACTCACAGAGTCTTACCCCACCCCCCCAGGCACCCCCGGGTTTGCTGTCTACAACTTTTACCTCACTGCAGGCTTCTCTGCTCCTCTGTTGTCACGCTCCTCATTAACAAAGCTGACAAACCAGTACTGAGGTCATCTCATTATCGCTGGTCTTAAATTGTGCTCTGAATAAATTCTGCCCCTGCAGCCAATTTGTGTGTCTAAAAAACAGGAAGTGAGTTATGATCCAGGACTGACTCAGCAGGATGAGAAGTGATTTATTCTGCGGTCCTCTTTATCAGATATGTTTCACACATTCATCAGAGCAGTCCAGCACATGAACAGATGTCTGAGCAGGTTGTCTGAGCATTTATTTTAGTAATTCATGTACCAAAAAAAAAAACATTTAATAGACTAATAGTGTTTTATTGTTGTAGAGTTTTRTCAGCAATCAAATTTCTCAGTCCTAAAAGCTTGCTGATGTCAAGATGGCAAATACTGGGGTTCAGTTGTGCAAACATGAATAAGTGAATACTGACTGTAGAGTGAGTTACCCTTTGTGTTGCAGACATGGTGTTGGACCACCAGGAGGCATCCCATGARCTGGACGACAGTGTGAGAGTGAGGGTCCGTGAGGCCCTGCTGAAGAGACACCACCACCAAAATGAGAGGAAGAAAAACCTGATTCCAATCGTTCGCTCCATCGCAGAGGGAACACGTAAACCCTCAGATCCTCATGGCATCGGTGTGTTTCTCCTATATAAWACACTTCAGTCAACAGTTCTGTGGTACTTTTAAATAAAACTTTGTCTGAACATGGGAAAAGAGTTGGTGAGAGACAAACTAACGTCTTCAGTCTGTTCGAGGACAAAATTAACTGGCAGAAAACCAGAGCTGCCTTTGAAGATATTTGTTTTTCATTTTTCTCTTGGCATGAAGCAACTCTGATTCACATGTACACCTACAACTGATCATCTCATAGGTTTAGCAACATCTCCACAGCCTCCTCCACCTGCTGAACCAGCCAAGAACGGAGCTGCACCGGACAGCAGCCARCCGGACCTCAGTAAGGTAAACCAGCAGACTGAGTGCTTTTTTTCTCTCATCGGTTTGGATCAATGACAAAAAAGGAAAAAAAAAGATATTACTAAATGCATCATTTATTCATAGATGCATAAAATACAGTTTTCTGTTTTACCCTCCTGCTGCTCTTGGGTCATTTGACTTAGACAATTAACCAGAGCACTAAGAGTGTTTGAATTTTAACTTTGCAGATTTTTTTGTTTTATTATTTTTTAGTATTGTGCAAAAGTTTTAAATCATTCCYAATTCCTTTAGTCCAGGAAGCAGGCCTTTCTTGTAATCTTTTAAAGTGGTCTCAGTCAATAGTTCTCAGCTTACTGAAGGTCTTCCAGAGTTTTTCTTTGGCTGCTGTTTTTAAAAGCTAATTTTCTGCCCTTGCACCTGACCATGACAGCATTGTGTGTTTAAACAATAAGGGAAAAGGAAAGTGTCAGGCCTAAAAACAGTTACACAACAAATTAGCTGAAAGTCATGTTTTAGAGAAGCAGCAAACAAAAGCCAGCAAAAACCTGACAAAATCCCTTTGATGATTTTCAATYCTTCAGCTAATCAATTACATTACAAACAGTTTTCAACTAACTTTTCTCTTGTAATCACTGTGTTTATGTTATGAAACTTCTTTATGAGTCAAACTTTTATCTTTAGTAACAGTTTTTTACAGATTCAGTTAAAGAAATTGGGACAAATTATGTTTTTAAGACAAAATATTATTATCCAAATATCAAAAGATCTTATTAAAATCTAGTAGTGTGTTGATAGAAAACAGGTTCATCCCTTGAGTTTAGAAGTCTTTTATGTCTGACTGATCCATACTGTAAGTCAGAGTTAACTAAGACTAACCACGAACAATTTTCTCAATTGAAAATGATTTAAAATGCAGCTAAAGTCCAAGAAAATTTTCCTGAGCCCTTCAGAAAGCCTGTAAAAATATTAATCAAGTCCATTTTTTAACAAGAAAGTCTGGCTGATTGGAAGCAGATTATAAAGAAATGAGGGATGATTCAAGACTTTAGCTCGGTTATGTGTTTACCACTGAAAATGATTCTGCACCCCTGATAAGTTTTTATTTTAAACTTCATCAGGTCGACCTTCATTTCATGAAAAAGATCCCTGAGGGTGCAGAGGCCTCCAATGTTTTGGTTGGAGTACTGGACTTCCTGGAGCGGCCCATTGTGGCCTTTGTCCGTCTTTCCCCGGCTGTCCTGCTCACCGGACTCACTGAGGTCCCCATCCCCACCAGGTAGACCATCCCAGCTCTCTGCAGACCTGTGACTCATTCACTTCAACACTGAAAGAACACCTTCTATGTTTTAAATGTTTTCTCTTTTTAAATCAGGTTCCTCTTCATCCTTCTGGGCCCTGATGGAAAGGAGCAACAGTACCATGAAATTGGACGATCGATGTCAACCATCATGACAGACGAGGTGGGATCTTGTTTTTGTCAAAATCACGCTGCAGAATCTGCCTCGAAGAAACATTTAATTACGTTTCCTAAGTTTCCACTCTCTGCTTCAGATCTTCCATGATGTAGCATACAAAGCAAAGGACCGAAGTGACTTGTTGGCAGGGATAGACGAGTTCCTGGACCAGGTAACGGTGCTGCCACCTGGAGAGTGGGACCCCTCGATCCGCATTGAGCCCCCAAAGACTGTCCCCTCCCAGGTACTCAGTCCTAACTAACCACATTTGGGCCTGGTTTTCTAATTTTTATTAGTATTTATATTTTTATTATTAATGCTGCTTGTTTCTGCAGGAAAAGAGGAAAATGCCAGGAGTCCCTAACGGTACAACCGTGCAGGTGGAGGAACCCCTACATGCAGAACACCATGGGCCAGAGCTGCAGAGAACTGGAAGGTAGACAGTTCTGTTTATTATGAAAGTTTAAGAAGAAATGCAGAGATGTTACAATTAAAATTTAAATAATTAAAGGGCCAAYATTATGTGTTTCTCAGGCATATATTTAAATACTATACCATAATAAAGTATCTATGTCACCTTTAGCTGTTATTAAAATGCTGTTTTTATGTTTAAATAGAAAATAAACTTATCTTCTCATCACTTCCTCTTCTAAACGCCTTGAAATTGGCGTTTGCCTCTTTAAGAACCCGCTTCTGTCTTGCCCATTTCGGTGAGGTGGGGCGCTGCCATGATGCAGTTTACTTGGCATCTGAAAATACATTTCCTCAAAGATATTTTTAATCTGAAAAGAGCTTCACTGAGTGAGAACTAATGTTGAGAGCTCAGCAGACAGTTAGGTTTCACTTTCACCTGAGAGCCTGCAGGAGTCATGGGCAGGAGGGGGTGCACTCTGCCATGAGGAAGTTCGGCTTAAAGACACGTCCCAGGGGTGTCTCTGGTCCCAAAAGTCGTTTCTGGTCCCCACCTGTCGTTTTGCTCCTCAGCATGGCTTCCTAAAAACGCTGCAGGATTTCTGAAACATGCATGAATGAGTCAAAGCAAGGCTCATTTTAACATGATTTAAAACTCAAAAAAGCTGATTTTACATGATATTGCCCCTTTAATAACATAATATTTCAGTTTATTAAAAGGACACACAGGCTAAATAGAGGCCCTTGCAAAATGACCAATAAGACTAAAAATAAAGTACTTCAAAATAGATGGATGGTGATGAAGATACAGTACATGCAGTAGTCAAAGTTTCTGGTTTTCCACTCCCGATCAAAGTAAAAACTTTGAGGAGGCACCTGAAGACGCTTGCATCCTCTAAAGATGGTTGTCTGTGCTCAGGTTGTTTGGAGGTCTCGTCCTGGACATTAAGAGGAAAGCTCCGTTCTATCTGAGCGACTTTAAAGACGGCCTCAGCCTGCAGTGTGTGGCCTCCTTCCTCTTCCTCTACTGTGCCTGCATGTCTCCTGTCATCACCTTCGGGGGGCTGCTGGGGGAGGCCACAGAAGGACGAATTGTAAGACACAGAGACTCATGTACAATATAGAATTTCAATTAAAGTGAACAAACAACACGCTTTGCATTCCCTCCGATTGTTTCAGAGCGCCATAGAGTCATTACTTGGTGCGTCTATGACTGGAGTGGCCTACTCGCTGTTTGCCGGTCAGCCTCTCACCATTCTGGGCAGCACAGGTCCTGTACTGGTCTTTGAGAAAATTCTCTTCAAATTCTGCAAGTATGTACAATTAATAAAATAACTTCTTGCTATCCCATCCACCATCTAATTGTCTCTTCCCTTTCTTCCCAGAGACTACGACCTGTCCTACCTGTCTCTGAGGACCTGCATCGGCCTGTGGACGGCCCTGCTGTGTTTGGTGTTAGTCGCCACCGACGCCAGCTCTCTGGTTTGCTACATCACTCGATTTACGGAGGAGGCCTTCGCCGCCCTCATTTGCCTCATTTTCATCTATGAGGCCCTGGAGAAGCTGTTCCACCTGGGAGAAGTGTACCCCTATCACACAAACAACGACCTGGACAAACTCACACTGGCTTAGTGAGTCACAAAATCACGTCACCTTTGCTTTTATTTGAACTTTCCCTCTGACTGGTAGAATGTTTTATTTCTGCCATGGTATTTATTATAATCAGAAAAGAAATCCGATTAAAGAAAACATGTAATGCTGTCATGTGTATTGTGTATATATGTTTAGCTGTAGGTGTGCAGAGCCTGATAATCCCAGTAATAAAACATTAGAGATGTGGAGTGAGAGGAACATCACAGCCTCTGCTGTACCCTGGGCCAACCTGACTGTTAAGGTAACAGATGGAAGACACCTATGTTTCGGCACAGACATTTTATCTATACAGAGTTAAAGTTTACTTTAAATTTCAGAGGTTACTTTTGTCTGTTATTTAGTTGTTTTTATTAAAACCAGAAAAATGTCAAATATTTGTGCCAGTCTTCTGTTTTTGGAAAGATGTATTTTCATTTCACACTCATTGCATCAGGAGCTGTAAAAGTAAAAAAGACCAGTTGTAAAGGAAATTAGTTCATCTAGGCATCAGTTCACATTATTACCTCTAAAAAAAAAACACAGTGAGAGATCAGAAGAATGAACTTGGAGTGAAGCTCAGAGTTAATGTAGCTGCCTGGTGTTTTTATAAAACCTAAACCAGTAAAAGATGCAACTCACAGCTAGCTTGTGTGTAGCATCGTTGCCTAAATGAAGGCGATGGAAAACAGCTGAAAAGTCACCAAATGAAATCTTTTTATAGTTTGACTAAAGCAAGATGCAAATATTTCAGTTTGACCACTTTTTTAAAAAAAAAAATAAAAGATGCAGAAAATGTATTTTTAAGGCCTGTCTTTTATTGGCTTCACGTTTTGGACTTTGAGGCTACAGCTTTGTCTTTTAAACATTCTGTTGCTGCAATTTGTTTATTTCATTAACATTTAGCTAAACTATTATCAGTTTACACCTCTAAAGTGATGTTTATAAAGTTTACAGTCTATAAATTAACTTTTAACAGGAACATTTTATCAACTTAAGTTCATGTAACTTGTAATTTCTTCTATTTTATGTTTTGCTGATTCTTCCTGTGCAACAGTTTAGATGAAACATTAGTTTTTATTTATTTTCACTAAAGTAATCTGAGCTGATTTTGTGTTGTAACTTTTGCAGGAGTGTGTCAGTCTGCAGGGCCACTTTGTTGGGACAGCATGTGGTCACCATGGACCTTACACTCCAGATGTTCTTTTCTGGTCCATCATCTTGTTCTTCTCAACATTCTTCATGTCTGCCTTCCTCAAACAGTTCAAAACGAGTCGTTATTTCCCCACCAAGGTAACCCACCACTTTCACACTGTTAGCTGATGTGTTAGTTAGGTATGTTTGTGGTCCAGGATCTTAAAATGTGACATTAGTAATCTCTGAATGCCTTGTGTCCAGGTACGGTCTATGATCAGTGACTTTGCCGTGTTCCTCACAATCGTCTTCATGGTCCTGCTGGACTTTGTTGTTGGGGTGCCATCCCAGAAGTTAAAGGTGCCGAGCAAATTCCAGGTATAGAACAAACATGCAGCTTTAAAAAGGTAAAACTCTACAAAATATAATAAAATGTTGAAACCTCCTAACTCTGTTGTTTTTTCTGCAGCCTACCAGGGATGACCGCGGTTGGTTGATTAGTCCTATAGGACGTAACCCCTGGTGGACCACCCTGGCTGCTTCTATCCCTGCTCTTCTCTGCACCATCCTCATCTTCATGGACCAGCAGATAACGGCTGTCATCATCAACCGCAAAGAACACAAACTACTGGTAAGAATGAAAAATGTTAATGTTATCGTAGCTGAACTTTTGTCGAATCGGCTCTCCGTCTCGTGATTACAGAAAGGTTGTGGGTACCACCTGGACCTGCTGATGGTGGGGGTGATGCTGGCCGTCTGCTCCATCATGGGTCTGCCCTGGTTTGTAGCCGCCACCGTGTTGTCYATCTCTCACGTGAACAGCCTGAAGCTGGAGTCGGAGAGCTCTGCTCCGGGAGAGCAGCCTCGCTTCCTGGGCATCAGAGAACAGAGGCTCACAGGCCTCGTCATCTTCCTGCTCATGGGCTGCTCGGTGTTCATGACGGGAGCGCTGCAGGTCAGTCACCATGTTTCTCAATAACACACACTCCAAAACATAACATGTGATTAATAATCAGGTAACTAAAGTAAAATCTTATTGACTGGTGGTTAATTGTATGTGTTGGTTATTTCCACAGTTTATTCCTATGCCTGTGTTGTATGGAGTTTTCCTTTACATGGGAGCCTCTTCATTAAAAGGCATCCAGGTAAAACACCATCTGATGGCGTCAAGTTTTATACAAGGAACAAAACTGTAGAGCAACTGTGTGTGCAATGTAAGCACTCTTTAATAAGTGTTCATTCTTTTTCTTCTTTAAACTCAAACCTAAATAAACACATATTTTGTACATATTGCAGACTAGACTCCAACAAATCAGTATAACTGAGATGCAGTGTTTTGAAGCCTGACATCTAATTTTCTTTGCTTTGGAGTTTAACCTGGACAAATATTTCTAAAATGCAAAATCACTTCATTTTATGACACTATGCATCAGCAGAGGTACAGCACAGGTTCAACGACTGGGAAATAAAGTTAGAGGTCAGACTGAGACATTTTGGATGATTTAATGAAATGATTTAAATGACCCCCTGTGTCTTTTTGAGATTGACCTTGTTGGTGCTGAAATTCCATTTTATGCTGGTCAAGCTGTCAAACATTTCTTGCAAAATTGCATTTTTAAAAATTCACCTAAACTCAAAAATGAGACCAAACTGCACCTTTTTGACAGGTTGCAGGTAACAATGTGTCAAACAATCCAATTTAAAATGAGTGGAGCTTTTTTTGTTCCTGGATGAGTCATAGGTCAGTGTTAGGTGGTTTAAAAACAAAACACAACAAAAGAGATCAAGTACTGGACAGAAAAGGAGCAAAAAATAAAGAACAAAAGAGTGAAATTCATTTAAAAACATGTTCATCACGACCACTTGAAATAATTATGGGAAAGCCTGGCATGTTGGAAAACATAATAAACTAACAGTTAACTTTTGCACAGAGCTGACCAAACAAAACAAACAGGATTTAATAAAAACTCCAGGCCTCGAAGTGACGTCAGGAAAAATTTAATTTAAACTCATGAGGGGTTGTTGTACTTTTCCCCCCCCCCCCCCCCCCGCCCCCCCAAAGCTGCTGTTTTGGATTGAATTCAGGCGACAGCTAATTTTTGATTTTTTTTTCTTCAGAGTCTTGCATGAGTTTTGCTCATTATTATGCAGAAATGTTCTTCATTTTGAAGTGCAGCCAGTATTTCATTCCACCTTTTTGTCCTTGTTTCATGTCAAACACATTTTTCTATAGTTTTCAGCTCGAGAGGTGCAGCCGTTTTGCTCATATCAGAACATTATGTCTTTTAAACATCACTTTATAGCCGTGTTGGTTCAGTTAGAGCTCAGACAGCACAGGTGAAATAAGTATGTAATTGCGTTCAATTGGTCATGTAAGGACAGGCCGTACAAGTGATTTTATGTCTGCAGTTACTTCAGTGAGTTCAGTTACATCTGCCAGTGATAATCCCTTCCATCTGTCCAATTTAAACTCTCTTCCACCTGGGTTCTTTCCCCCTCACCCMTCAGTTCTTTGACCGCCTGAAACTCGTGGGCATGCCAGCGAAGCATCAGCCTGATTTCATCTATCTGAGACACGTCCCGTTGAGGAAGGTTCACCTGTTCACAGTCACCCAGCTCAGCTGCCTGGTTCTGCTCTGGGTCATCAAAACATCGCCTGCTGCTATCGTCTTCCCCATGATGGTGAGCCGTCAGCYGCCCGCATCCGCTCGTCTTATTGCTACCAGCTTAGGTGAGACGTGTTTGCACCCTTCGCCTGCAGGTGCTGGCTCTGGTGTTCATCCGTAAGGTGCTGGACTTGTGCTTCTCTAAACGGGAGCTGAGCTACCTGGATGACCTGATGCCGGAGTGGAAGAAGAAAACACTCGATGACGCGTCGAAAAAGATGGAAGAGGTATGGCAAATAGAAGAGCTGAAAAMCAGAAGTGTGGCTTTGATTCATGTGTTTGCACGCGTCCTGCAGGAAACACTGGTCATGCTCAACATGAACACAGAAGAGCCAGAAACTGTTCCGGTGGCCAAGGAGAGCAGCAAGCCTGTTCAACGAGTGCACGACCCCAGGTGAGAGCAGACGGCAAAGCAGATGAAGGTGCTGAGATCAAAAGAGAAATGTGTCTTCTTCCTGTCTGTCTGCATGCCTGTCTGTCTGGTGTGTGGTGCTCCGGTGAACCCTCTGCATCTCTGAAACCTGTCCCTGATCCTCTACCTCATTTGTTCTCTGTCATCCTCTCATCCTCTCCCTGCCTCTCAGGTGTGATCCCTCTGATATTAACATATCTGATGAAATGTCTAAAACCACTGTGTGGAAATCCCTCAATTCCAATCAAAAGGATGTCCAACCTGTAGCTGCTAAAAAGGCAAGGCCTTACCTTTTTATCCTCTCACCCTGTGGAGATGTTCCTGCTACACATTTTAACTGCTTTATTCACACATCACTGGTTTTGCTTGCCGTTCAATAATGTCTTCTAATAGTGGGTTTTGTGTTTTTCCCCTTGTAGGATTGAAGGAATCGCTTTTATTGATGAGTGAAGAATGTCTGCCCTCCTGCAGCTCTGGATCACAGAATGCCATGGTACAACCAGACCCTGCAGAAATAAGTCCAACATTTTACCCGAACGACAGTGTTGTCCACAAAAGCGCAAATCCACTCACACGTGTGCTTGTAGCTTTGTGAGGTCTCCAGACACAATATAATCTGTATTAGAAGTTTTATTTTAAAACAAATCCCTGAAATTATGTTCAAACTAGCACGAAACACAACTTTAAAGCAGTAAATTCCTTACTTTACTTGAATACTCCCACTTCATCAGAAAAAATCTCCAGCAAAACCAGACTCAGGAATACTGGCAGGAGAAAAAAAAGTAAAACTCAGAGTTAATGACAGCAGCACTGAGGTTATATACATAAATTAAATAGAGTAAAAAAAGAGATGTCATGAGATGATGGGACATCTCCCAGCAGCATTGTCTGTAGCAGAATGACTGTCAAAAAGCAWCTTATTACTTATCTACCTGCAGATGTTTTACAGATCTGAACAGATAATTTTAAAGAAAAACTGTAAGAGTAATTAATAATCTGGAGACAAAATATAAAGCTGCTCTGTTCTATTTATCAGAGTCAATAGTTTTAGCTGCATAAAAACCTTCCTCCCAAAGACAGAAACTCATGTTAATCCTTATCAAACAACAATAACCTTGTCTGCCCTTCGTCTCTTCACAGTTTAGAATCAGCTGGGGAGTTTTTCTGGTGTAGATTTGTCCGGCCTTATTCCTCAATTTGTGCCATTTTCAAATTTTAGCCTGTTTTTGGTTTTATTGTGGATTTTAAAAACTCATTTTAGCTCTACTAACAGAAATCACAAAATTTTTCTGTTAGTTTTGTGTGATGTGAACTGACAAAATGTAAAAACAAGTAAATTTGCCTTATCKGTGCCGTTATTGAGCTTTTTTCTTAGGTGTAATTTCTAGTTCCTGCTATTATTATTATTGACTGTTTAGTGTAGAGAAAGAGCTGCAGAATGTCTGAGTTTCTTATTTATTTACCTCAAGACATGATTATGAAAGCTCCTGCATGGCACTTTTTCCCCCCAAAAACAGCAGCATCGTGGGGACCTAAGTGAAACGTGGGGACCAATGCCAGGTTCCCACGGGTCTAAATGCAAATTACAGGTGGGGGGTTTATGTTTAAGACCATGGTTTATGTTAGTTTTAGGGTCAGGAAGGTAAATCTTAAGGGAAATGGTCAGGGTTAGGCTATAAAGTCTAAAAAAATGAATGAAAGTCAATGGAAGGTCCCCACTGGGTCAAGAAAAAAAGTGTGTGTGTGTGTGTGTGTGTGTGTGTGTGTGTGTGTGTGTGTGTGTGTGTGTGTG